CCCCCCAAAGCCCCAGTAGATAGTTGTACGTCATAGGTTCACATCCTTCTAGTTGCTGTACGTGGGACTCGGCCTCGCGTTGGACGGAGAAGTGGTGCCTCAGGGCGCTCCCGGGATCCGAACCCGGGCCGCCAGCATCAGAGCGCGCGCACTTAACCGCTAAGCCACCGGGCCGGCCCAGAACTTAATTCTTACTTGAGCCAAATGGATCTTTTTCAGTGCTTGGAAACCCCGGACATGTGCCTTTTCACACCGTTCCATTCTCTCTTGCGCTGCTTGTTTTTGCAGTTCTTCTGATCTTTTAGCTTCTTCTTCAGCAGCCACATGAGGATCTGGCTAGCAGTCAACCAATTACATTTTAGACAGTTTAAAAGTGTGAAACAAAGCGATAACTAAAAAACAAAATAACTTTAAAATCAAGTTTTTCTACTTATACAAAATTAAACAATAAGTTATATTTTTTAAATGCCCACAATTATCAACAGCACGTATCTATGAGAAATATCAAAATGTTAGTGTCAAGTTCGACCAGTTGTTCATTTAAATCAGATTACGTTATACTCATCCAAACACATTCCTCCATCATTTTCTGTTAAGTAAAGAAATTCCATCAAAACAGCAATGTTGAAAGATAAACACCCACAAAGCTAGTAGTTAAGAAACCACCAACAACAATCACGGAAGCACTGAGATCTGTCTTTGGTTTTCAGCCAACATCTGCTCAGCTTCCGCCTTGGGAAGGCCAAACCACCACAACACCTAGTTTAATATAATTTCTGGCCTCCTAGAACTTGTGCAAAATCCATGATTATGAGATTGTACAGTCAGCCACCATCTCATTAACATAACAATAGTAACATCAAAGAAAGGGAGAGGGGCACATAACCTGGACTTACTATCATACCCAAACATTCACTTTCAAATATAGGTGAACATTCCAAATGTAACTTTAAGTAAAAATCTTCTCATGTATTTTATATGTTGAAATTCTATTACTCAGGTGAAACAATAATTAATGATGACCATGAAAGCTATTAACTATATATATAAAATTATTTAAAACTCTTAAGTAGTGAGATAAATAGGTAAAGAGACTGACATTAATATCTTAAGAGTGCACTGGCCAAACAAAGCATTATATCCCTTTTGAGCCAATAAATATTTGTGCAAATCTAAATGATTTGTGCAAATCTAAATAACACCAGGCAGAATAACAAAGGTTAGATTAAATCAAACTTATAATCTCCATAAAATTATTTATTGTATTAACATGCATAATAATAAATAAAATAACCTTTAGGAACAATATTTCATTCCATTTAGGCTATGGGGTTTTCAAGAAAAAAGTTGCTTGGGAATTTTTCACATCATTTGAGGGTGAATTAAAAGCAGAACATCATTCTGGTAAACCAAAATTTTATGGGAAGGAAAAACTTCAAAACATACAACATGCTTGATAAACATGTTCAGTCCAGACACAATGAGGTATATCAAGAACATTAAGAAACTAAAGGGTTAGAGAAAAATTAGGTACCCCAAACAAATTTTATTCTGACGGACCAAACTTCAAAACAAGATTTTACAAGAATGCTTTAGGACAACAATCTCTTATAGATTTGTGTCAATGCGATTGAAAATTTAAATAAGAATTTGGTTGAAATAATTGTTAGATTCCATTTTCAGTAGCTGAACTCAAAAGGTATGTGAAATTTACAAAAACTGTAAATCCCAAGCAAAAATTCTTTTTAGGAAACACGTTTCTAAAAAACTTTTCCATGAATTATAATCTGCAATGCACAAAAGGATAAGTGAATTATTAAATATGCTACTTCTGCATCTTGTACATCAGACATTGGATAGAAATCTTTTTAAGTATGATATCATAGTAAATTGAAGAATTTAACTATTTCTGCTTTACTTGTCTGTAGACATTTCTGGGTCTCACAGCAAACAATATAGTGGATCTAACTGGAAAAATATTTCTGGGATGAAAAATCTACTTTTAGTAAGCTCTACAAAACTGTGGTTGACAAAGGAAAAAACATGATGAAGGCCATGAGTAATTTAGAAATTTCAAGCATATGATGTTTTGTTTAGGTGTGTGTATAGAAAGGAAATGTAGCAAAACATAATTTGGAGAATAACTGGCACTAAGTAGGAATATAGCAGGCCACTTTCATCATTCTTCTTCAGCCAAAGACAAATTTCATGACATATACGAGATTTTAGAACTACTTTATTAGGACATTCAAACAAAACATGATAGCAGTTCTTACATATTAAAAGACTGACTGAACAAATGAAAGTAGTTTATTTGCAGAAAGCTGCTGAATACAAACATATATGCCAAGAGTGCAAGTATTTTTTTACATGATACCTCCTGTAAAGATCCCATCATTCTACACCAGGAAAGATGCTAAATTATTGTGCCTGTGATACAAGCTTCGATACAGATGAAAATTCAAAGATAATTTTGTTATCTGGAAAACCAAGCACATCGCTCCACTGTCACATTTTAAACCAAAGGTTTGAGGATAGATCTTTTTCCTAACTAATGGTGTGAAGAAGTAAATGAAAGAAAGTATTAGTACACTTTAGTTTGTGGGACTGCTTTTATGTAACTGCATTATAACTACTGATCCAATCTTCAAGACCAGAAATTGAGGAGGGGGTAGGCCTTTTAGTTACTATCAAAGAGGAAAGTTTAGTAATTTACTGTAACACCATCAGTGGTACCCTACACTAGAGCTAAACAAAACACTGTCTTTCTTCATCAATCTTAGGTGAAAAGGAACATCTATTTAATCCTGCAAAAATGCAGTGCAGTAACCACAAGAGCAAGTTAGCAAGAGACTGAAGTTATTGTTCCCGTATTATAATAATATTGAAGTTGTAATAATAATTTATGATTTTAAGTAAGTCTCCAGATTTATTCTTGTTTTTCAGAAGTTAATTCTATGATAATGATACTCATCTTAGGTCTTGACCATATATTGATTTTAACATCTGCTATCAAGCAGTCAACCAAAATGTGTATTTGTTGCATTCTAAACTCCACATGAATGCTATGTTGAGAAAGTTTATTTTCCTACCAGCCACATATATCCAACATGAAAAGAATTAAACCCCACTGTTACAAAGAAATAGCAATTATAATAACTAGGATATATCATTTGTCACTCTTAAGACTGGCAACAATTTTTAAACCATAATATTCTATACAGACAAGGGTATGATAAGATGGCCATTCTCATATGTTGCTGATGCTTTTTAAAAGGCAATTTAATGATCCATACCAAGTATCTGTATCAAATGTTATAAGTTTGGAACCAATATTTTCTCTTCTAGGAATCTATTCTAAACATACAATCAGAGTTGTAGACAAAAATGTACAAGAGACTGTTATGTCTGCATTCTTCACAGAAGCAAAAAAAAATAAATAGGAGAATGGTTAAATAAATTCTATGATGAAATACTAAGCACCTATTGAAAATCATGTTTTGAAAAGTGTGTGTATATGTTTATATATGAAGACTATAATGAATTCATTAATGTATTAACCACATTACTATTTGGTGATGGAATTATAGGTGTTATATGTATAATTCCAAATTTTTCACAGAGTATTATTTTTATGATAAAAAGTTTAAAAATCAGCTATTTTAAAATAAAACCATTTAAATAGCCAACTCCTTTCATTCTCATTAAATCATCATTCATATTAAACATGACACGTAATTCAAAGAACATTTAAACGATTTTTTTATCACTATTACCCGAAGATGGTTAATAGAATTGTTCAAATTTTGACATCGGAGAACAACATACATAGAACCAAGATATAACTCAATTCAATGAACAGCGAGATAATAGTGAGGGTCGTGAACAAACAATAAGTCAATCACCTGCTTTGTGTCCATCTCTCTATTCACTAAAGCATAAAGATGATGGTAGGTAGAACTACTGGTTTTCACATTAGAAACTCTCTTTATTTCAATGTTCTGAAAAATGGAACATAGAAAATAGATGGTTAGGTTAAAAGCATTAATTTTCATTTAAAGCTGATCCAATACAAAAAAATAATTTCATAGTCTAATTAATTATCCTTATTCATTTTTTTTCACATGGGATCATGCACTGTATTTCCACTAAACTGAAATTCAGGTTTAAAAGGTACCTTATAGTTAGGCAACAGGTGATGCTGTATAGTTTACTGCATCACATCAGAAGGAACGTTGATGTCAATAATGGCAAGCTGCTTCCCTACTGATTCTAAGTTTGATCATTTGGTTACAGTGGTTCATACCCAATGATAAGAGAAAGTTCTCTTCTTTTTTCAAACAGAAGTAAGCCAATGAATAAATGTAGGAGGATGATAGATACCTGTTGGTGCCCAAGTATCATTTCCCAGATTACTTGGTAATTGAAAAGAGAAAAATATACCTTTATGATGGAGATCTCTTACAGTCACCACCATAACCAAATGAGACAAATACAGAATATGAGAAACTAGTCTAGTCTTTCCACACTAATCTCTTCAAAAGGTTTGAAACAGAAAAGTTGGCTAGGGTTGGGGAGACAATGTTCTACATTAAGAGACTAAAGAAACAAAACAAACAGAAGCAATGTGTGAACCTTGAGTGGATCCTGGTTTAAAAAAAAAAAAAAGCTATACAACAATTTTAGGGATAATTGCAGAATTTTGATTACAGACTGTATATTAAAAGGAATTAATTTTTTAAGGAATTAATTTTTTAAGCAATTAACGTTAATTTTCCTGGTGTGTCATTGTGGTTGCACAGGAGAATGTCTTTATTCTTACAAGAAGCGTGCTGAAGTATTAGGGTGAAATGTCATCTCTACAATTTACATTCAAATGTATATATACATACATATAACTATTTGAAACCTATACACAATGCAAACAGACATTCATTGTTCTCAACTTGTCTGTATTTTGAAATCTTTCATAATAAAAAGTTGGGAAAAAAGTACAACCACGCATTTACATATAATTCATATTTGCTAAATCACTTACACAGACAATGTTTTCTTCGCTTTTCATTAATTTGGAATTAAGACAAAGGTAATCAAAAGGCATCATGGATAAAATACTGCCTGCCTTGTAACACAGTACTGAGGGAGTGACTGAAATCTGAGTCTTCCATTTGAATCTTGTTGGATCAAATATTACATGGCAGATAGCTCAATATAAAAGCAGGAAGACTGACAAAATGAAAGGCTTAAGAGGCAAATATCTGGTACTTATGCTGATCATACATATATAAAATATACTTGTATATACAACTGAATTAGACATCCCTTTATTTGTATGTCTTTTTTTTTTTACTTCAACTTAACTTTCTAGATAAAAATAACTATGTAATTTTGATAATCATCCAAATATCCATTTCAGCAACCACAACAAGCTAATGTGAACAAGAGAACCAATACCTTTTAAATTAATTTCCACTTTATTTAATAAATTGTTTTTTTAAAAAATAAGCTCTGAATCACAAAAGCACACATTTTACTCCCATAAAGAAATAGATCCCTCTCACCACTTTATGTAAACTTGTGTAAATTTATTAACTTATCTGAACTTAATTTCTTTATCTGTAAAATGGTAACTATTTACAATGGCCAAATCTTGAACGTGGGAAAGCCTATAGGGCAAATAATCCATTTTTTTTTAAATAAATAAAGAGCATTCAAAAAAAAAAAGGACAAATTATTCAGTTTTGTTTTTTTTTTTTTTTTTGTGAGGAAGATCAGCCCTGAGCTAACATCTGTGCTAATCCTTCTCTTTTATGCTGAGGAAGACCGGCTCTGCGCTAACACCTATTGCCAATCCTCCTCCTTTTTTTCCCCCAAAGCCCCAGTAGATAGTTGTACATCATAGTTGCACATCCTTCTAGTTGCTGTATGTAGGACGCAGCCTCAGCATGGCCCGAGAAGCGGTGCGTTGGTGGGCGCCCGGGGTTCCGAACCCAGGCCGCCAGTAGCGGAGCGTGCGCACTTAACCGCTAAGCCACGGGGCCGGCCCAATTCACAGTTTTTTAAAAGTCAAAAACATTATAGTTTTTCAAACAAAAAACTTTTTGAGACAACTGGGGAAAACTGAACACAGACTGGATATTAGATGATATTGGGAACAACATTGGTATTGTGCTTTAAAAAAAGTCCTTATACAACAGAGATATATACTAAAGTATTTACAACAGGTAAAATGATATCTAGTATTATTTTTAAATACTCCAAATATACTCACGTGTTACTTATACAATTAAAAGTTAAGTTTAGGGGCCGGCCTCGCAGCATAGCGGTTAAGTGCGCGCGCTCCGCTGCTGGCGGCCGGGGTTCGGATCCCGGGCGTGCACCGACACACCAGTTGTCAGGCCATGCTCTGGCGGCATCTCATATAAAGTGGAGGAAGATGGGCATGGATGTTAGCTCAGGGCCAGTTTTCCTCAGCAAAAAGAGGAGGATTGGCATGGATTAGCTCAGGGCTGATCTTCCTCACATACACACAAAAAAGTTAAGTTTAAACAAATGATATTTTGACCTCATTGAATTCTAATGGTAAAGAATTATTATTAACCTAGTTCTTCACAACACTCAAAGTAATTCACCTCAAAAAGAGTCGGAGGAGGAGGTGGCAGACTTGTAATTTTGGCAGATCTCTCTTTTTCCACAAGGAGTGCTTCCTTTCGGGCTTTTATGTGCCTTAAAAAACAAGAGATGTCATAAATTAATCTCTCAGGTAATAATACAGTACAACCCTTCGGGTTAAAAATGTAAAAGCCATGGGATCTCAAGAAATCCTCCAGTGTGATCCCACAGGTTCAATATGCTGTTTAATAAAGAGTCTATATCCAGTGGACAAGTAAGAAAATGTTTACCAAGTGAAGGAGGTGTATCTAAAGACGTAACGCTCTACAGTGGGGACTGACCCAACAAATATCTAATGTTCCTTAGTTTAGAACAGTTAGAGTCAAAAAACTAGAAATGTTGATAAAGATGGCCTACTGTATAAAATGACCACTGCTGACTAGTAACAGGCTCCTTCATTTTCCCAACATATAAAAATACTCACTAATGACTTCCAACCTCTTTTAATGTTCTTAATCACACTGATTTTCTATTTTTACATTAGAGGCAGACAGATTTTGGTTGACGTGTATTCTGAACTAGCCATACATTTCTATAGAAACGTAGTAATCACTGCTGAAGTAAGACTAGAAGAGAAAGCTCATTTGTTACTACGTTCACCTAAGCAAACCATTCCACTAACTGCATTATTTTTAAACCAAGTTTAACAAATGCAATGGAAATAACATGACTTTTATTTAAGAACTGCTTAAACAGTATCCAATGTACCTTCTACTTCTAGCCATATCAGTTTCAGTGGAGAATATGATAAAAATGATTATTACTTTACCAGGTTTTTTGTTTCATTAATGTTTCCTTTTGATTTTTCTGTACTTTCAGGGCCTCTTTATGCCTCATTTCTGCTTTTCTTTTTCTTTCTGCTGCCCGCTGTGCCAGAGCATTTAAATCAGGTTCCTAAAAATACATATTACTTACAATGTCATGTTAAACAAGATTAAAATGCCAAACATATACTAATATGGGTGGTTCCCCAGTCAGGGCAAAATACCACGAAGGTGGTATTAAAATGACTGAGGTTTAGGAAACACTGCACTAAAGCACAAAGTTAATGGCGCATAAATAAAGCTACAACAATCTGATGTCAGAACTAAAGGCTATTACTAAAAACATACACTAAAATCAGGGACCAAGGAACATACTTGATTTCCACATTCTTTAAAGAGATTTCTTTTTCTCACTAGTAGTTTGATATCAAAGACCCGCCTGCTTTGGAACCAGCTTGCTTATTTTGTGCTATTATCTCTGGGACTGCAGTATAGTATTTTCCAACCATGAATCACAATAAACAACAAAGTAAGGTCAGGGAACAGTCTTAAATACTGAATTAAGTTCTATTTTGCCTATCTGCAAGTCATCAAAGAATTTTTACTGTCTGTGAACGAAATCCAAGTGTATATACATTCAACTATACATGAAGAATCATAACGAAATGGGAAATCTGAATCCACTCCACTGAATCTGTCCAAAATGCTTGAAATAAATAACTTCTGATTCAAAAGGTTACTATTTTATTTACCCAGCTAGTTAAGGACTGGAAGAGAATAACGCAATTTAAATATCATAGGAAGACAGATTTTACTTGACATAACCCTTACTAGGCAATGAACCTAGCACCCTTCTTAAATTATATTAAATTTACAAAATAGTTCAAGCTGCCCAAAACAAATTCTGTACATGAAAACATTTTTATCAGACAAGTATTTAACAACTATAATTTACTTTTAACCAATATTACTACCCCAGACAGGTAGTCAAATAAGTGCTCACATTTTCTTTGGCTTGTTGATGTCCCTCTCCCATACTCCTTAAACTTGCCAAATACAGTTTTTCCAAGTTCTTTATTTTCTGAGTTTGTGATTCTTCCCATTCTGTCCTTAGCTCTTCCGCCAAACGAGCAAATTGCTGATTTCTCCTCTGTTTTATATCTTCTCTGATCTGTAAAGCGATATCTCTTTCCTGTTCTCGAACCTAAAGAATGAATATTTAACAATTATATGAAAAGAGGCTTACTTCAACTTTTTTGAAAAGCTATTTGTAAACAGGAACTTAAATGAACTCTCTTTAGGGCTATCAAATCTCCTGAATATTCATTCACATTAGATAAGGCCTATGTAAAGCAGAAAATCCAAGTGAGGTAGAAAAAATTAAAATCTCAAGACTACTTCTAAAGTTCCCTAACTGATTAGCTATTATAACTCCTCCAGCAAAGCCCTAATGGACCGCCATTATCATTCTAATAACCTATAAAGAGGCTAAAATGGTAAGTATGATTCAACAAAATTTACAGCCCAGATGAGTATAGACAGAGGTAGATGAGAACTCCATATCTGTGGTCCATCATCCCCCATTCTAGACATAATGGAATTTAAAACACGCTTCACAAAGACTTAACCATCTTACTCTAAAAAAGACTTCTAGAAAAGAATAATCTACAACCTCTTAATAAATTTGTTTCAGCAGCTAATCTTTCCAGTAAGTCTTCTTCAAAGTCATTCTGATCTTCCTGCTCTAATCTTCATCAGTAACACATGATTTTAAAAAATATTTAAATAATTATTTTCCAATAATTATTGAGTCAAATATTCTCTATCCTCAAATTCTTCTTCAATCTATTTACCATTTCAGCCTATTTTTCAAATATTCCCAAACTAGTTAATACGCAAGAGCCGAACCATAGCCCATGTACAGCCAGAAAAGGTTTTTAAATGCAACATTTTATTTAGAACATTCTAATGTAAAAAATACAATAATTTGGGGAAGACAAAGAATTTGACACCTTGTTCCAAATAAACCTTACCTGTAGCAATCTTAGTTTTCGTCTTCTTTCATAATCTTCCTTTAAAATGAAGGCTTCCTCATTAGGACTCAATTTCAGTCTGCCAGCACTCACTACCTTTCTTTTCATTTCTGTGCACTTTAAATAGAAAGGTTCTGAATTTTAAAAAAGAAAAATGTCTATTAAAATAGGGTAGCAAAGATCAGAATACTTTTTAAAATACATATTACTACTTTTGACAGTTAAAGGGCTGTATATATGCATATAAAATAATTTGGGTAAATAAAGTCCAACTGACTTACAAATAGCAATTATTAATTCAGCACTTACATCAGCAGTTCTCAAATGGGTGGGGAGGGGTTAAGTAGAGGGTGACTTAGAATTACTTGAAAAAGTTTTTCCCTATCTTCAGTAGATTTTTGTTTACCTAGAGTACCTGGGACCTGACTTACTCCTGATTGGGATTTCCAGATTTTACCTAGCTTAAAGGTAAAAAAGCACCAAGACTTTGAAAGATGTATTAGCATAGAATAAATGTTTTCACAACTACAATATAACACTTTATAACTTTGATAACTTGTTCATAAGCAGCAAAAATGATGTAATTTTAAGGGCTCCTGGTCCCTAGATTCATCTCCTAGTCTGTTGTACATAACTTCATCACCACGTGTCATTGTATTGTATGAAATCACATCAACCCCTCAACAATTCTTCAATAATTACAATGGTGTGATTTTTAAATGAATGATCATTTAAAAATTTTTTTTAAGAACGATTCTGATGTTTGGATGAGTCAAGTGTTTAGATTCCCAGATCTATTCTACTAGTGCTACTGTTTACACTCAGGTATTCTCACTCCCACCCCCCCCAATAAAAACATGGATGCAGTTCTTAGATCTTTCTGAAGCTAGCTTAACCCCCCTTCTTCATGAGGAAGATCAGCCCTGAGCTAACATCTGTTGCCAATCCTCCTCTTTTTTTTGCTTGAGGAAGATTGTCCCTGAGCTAACATCTGGGCTAATCTTCCTCTATTTTTTGTATGTGGAATGCCATCACAGCATGGCTTGATGAGCAGTGTGTAACTCCACACCCAGGACTTGAACTTGTGAAACCTGAGCCGCCGCCGAACGCAGCAAAGTGCACGAACTCAATCACTATGCCACTGGGCTGGCCCCAATCTTCTAGTAATTCTTGCTCTGCCCACCCACCCCCTCATTCCTGACTTGCCCTACCTATAACACATTACCTTTCCATTCTTATGGGGACTAATCTAATGTTGTCTTGCATTAGCTTCCTCTAGTTTTTCAACAATTGCAGTTTGCCCTTTCTAGTTAGATTCCTAACAACTTGAAGGATAGACGCTATAGTTTTATTTTATTTTAATAATCAAATTAATTTGATAAATAACAACTACCAGGCAGTATTTGACACACTATGGATGAACACTGTTTTCACTCAGGTGTAATCAGAATAAAGGCTAGGAGAACTCAATGTTAACTAATAGACACTAATACTTTCCGTGAATTCTCCACCAAAACATAAGCTCAACGAGGGCAGGAATGGTCTTATTCACAGTGTTATGCCCACAGCCTAAAAACAGTGCCTCGCACATAAGTGCTTACTTACTTCAGTAAGTGTATAGACTGAAAGAATGACTCATTCAGCGAGTTAATTCATGTAAAGTGCTACAGAGGTATACAGGGTCATTGTTACTATTTTCAACAGGACTCTGACGCCAAAAAGGAATAAGTGCTTGCATTTGAAAATCTTTTCCAATGCGTCCCTCTCATCTGAGACACGGCTTTGATAACAGAAGGTAAAGTGCTGATTGTTTTCCTCATTTTAAAGATTTTATTTATTTTTATTTTATCTTTTTCCCCCCAAAGCCCCAGTGGATAGTTGTATGTCGTAGCTGCACATCCTTCTAGTTGCTGTATGCGGGACTCGGCCTCAGGATGAACGGAGAAGTGGTGCCTCAATGCGCACCCGGGATCCGAACCCGGGCCACCAACATCGCAGCGCGCGCACTTAACCACCAAGCCACAGGGCCGGCCCGTTTTCCTCATTTTATACATGAAGAAATAAAGGCCTCTTGGGTTAAAGGACTTGTCCTAAGTGACAATATCTACTGGCAGAGCCAAGGGAAGAATCTGCTTTCCTTATTCCATATGGCTCCTAACTTTCTGACATACTAAAACACGTGGAGTGAGGAAAATTTTGTTTAAGCTGGTATTTTTTGCAAGTGGGGATTGACAAACAGGGAAGAACTGAACAAAGAAGAAAAATGAGCAAGATTAAATTTAGTCTTCACAATGTGTATTGTTTGAAGGTCTTTGAAAATTCACATTCAAATTTTTAAAACTAATTCCTGATAAATCTCATATACATAGTATCAAGGAAAAAAAGACAAAAAAGAGAACATACTGTAAAATTCCATTTATATGAAGTTCAAAAACAAGCAAGACTAATCCACGATGAGAGAGGTTAAAAACAGGGGTCACCTTTCTGGAGGTTACTGACTAGGAGGGGGCACAAAGGAGCCTGCAGGGGTGCTGAAAATGTTCTCTATGTTGATCTTTGTGATGGTTACACAGGTGTATACATAGGTAAAAATTCCTCAAATGGTACACTTAGACTTGTATATTTTACTCTAATTTATACCTTAATAAAAAAGAAAAATATTTTTTCATATACTCTTTCCTCAGCTTCTCTAAATGTCAACCACAGTACAATGATCAAAACCAGGAAATTAACACTAGCACAATACTTTTAACTAATCTACAGACTTTATTCAAATTTCATCAATTATCCCACTAATGTCCATTTTCTGGACCAGGACCCAATCCAAGGACAACACATTACGTTTGATTGTTGTGTTACTCTGGGTCCTCCAAGAAGCAGATGCCAAGACGGGATTAAAACCCACGAAGATTTTATTAGGGGAAATGTCCGTGTGAGGGAAAATAGGGAGGGAGCTGGTAAAAGCTGGGGGCACTCAGACTTCCATGGAAATCTGACACAGTGAAGGAGGGAGGGCAAGTTGGGTAACCGCCTCTTAGACTGCCCTGCAGTCTAAGGAAGGTTCAGCAAGACCTCTGGGGAGTCCTTAAGCCAAAGTCCCTTGTTGCTCTGCAACAGGGTTGCTATGCTCAGTCACTGGCTAGAAGCAGGCCATCAGAAGCAACCATGTAAATGGATTTCAGGATACAGGAGTTGAGGGTCTGTGAATTACATTCTAGCCGCTGCTGCTGAGGTTGTCCTGTCTCTTTGGACTCCTCTAATCTGAGATAGTTCCTCAGTCTTTCTTTCAAGATCTTGACATTTTTGAAAAACACTGGCCAGATATTTTGTAGAATGTCCCTCAATTTGGATTTGTTTAACCTTTTCTTGTGGTTAGACTGCAGGGTTACGCATTTTTGGCAAGAACACCACAGAAGTGATGATGTGTCCTTCTCAGTGTATCACATCAGGAGGTAAATGATGGTAACATGTCTTAATACTGGTGATGTGAATTTTGATCACTTGGTTAACGTGGTGTCTATCAAGTTTCTCCACTGTAGTTACTACTTTTCCTCTATAAGTGTCTGGTGGAGAGACAGTTGAGGCCATAAATATCATGTTCCTCATCATACTTTTGTCCACTAAGTTTAGCATACATTGATGACTGTTGTCTGAAACAATTACTGTAGCAATTATCAAAAGGTATTTTCTATTTCTATTATTCCTTCTACATTTATCAATTGGAATCCTACTGTAAGGAAGAGTTTCCCCTGCTCCCTCACTTATTTATTCATATCAATATGGATTTTTAAATTCTATGTATTATTACTATCCAGTTACAGAGATGATGCTACTTATCTTGCAAGAGTTTGTCCTGAGGATTACACGGCACCTGGCACTGTAATCATAAAATTAATACTAGACTTAGAAAATTTGGGTTCAAGACCCGACAATGCCACTTCGAGCAGGAAGACACTGGCGGATTCACTTTCGTCTTGTTTTCTTAAACAACATAACGGGAATAATAATATCTACCCCAACAGGTTGTTCTGATGATTATGTGACTTAATGAATGTAAAACTGCCAAATACCTTCTAAGTATTTAAGACGCAAACGTTCCCCATTGTTTTAAAAGCTCAGTTTGTGGCAGGACTTAATACTTGAGAAACTAAAGGTGAGGGACATTCTCTGCAGTAAACGATTCCAGGCAGCGTCTTAAATGGCTACCAGATTTCAGGCCGCGTCCGCGAGTGACCTGGAGGAAGGGTGGGCAGGACGCACCGAGAGGCGTTTGCAGCAGCAATCGCGGGGCCCTCGAGGCCACCCCGACTTGGAAGCTTGGGCACCCCGCGCGACTCGACCCCAAGGGCGCGCAAAGCCACACGTGCAAAAGGCCCGGGAGCAGCCTCCCGCACGAAGCGGCCGGGCGTGGGTCGGGACGCGCCTCCCGCCCCCGCGCTCCTTACAGCCGCAGCCGGACCCGGCCAGGGCCCGCGGCCTGCCGGGGCCCGAGACCCGCGGGCCGTCTGCGATCGCCACGCCGCGCCTTCACGGCATCCCCCTCCTCGGAACACACTCCCGGCTCCCGGGCCTCAGGGAGTCGAGCATGCCCGGGACGGGGTTAGACGGCGCGTCCATCCCTCACCTGAGAACCGGACGCTCAGAGTCAGGACCCGCAGCTCAGACACAGAAAGCCCAGGCGGCCGCCACGGATCAGCTTCCCGACAGCCGTTTGTGCGCCTGCGGGGCGGCCATCGCGGAGCCCCCGTCACTTCCGTCATTCAAACCGCCCGCCAATGGCGGGGCCAAACCGCGGGAATCGGCTTGGTCCCGCCTCCCCGGGGGCCGCAGGGACGGCCGCGCAGGAAAAGCCCGCTCCCCGCGCACGCGCACGCGCCAGCACCTACGTAGAGCCCCATTATTTCTCATATCTGCTGTGGCTTTGGAGTATTACCTTATGTCTCTCGACGTGCTTGTTTTACAGATCAGGAAACAGAGGTCCAGAAAGAGGAAGATATTTGCTTAGAGGCATGAGGGTAACTTTAGTCTTAAGACCCATCATGAAGATGCCTTGGGATATGCATCCTTTTGGACACTGACTACACAATTCATTTGGTACTGTTATGCCGCAGTTAGTGTCCGATAGCTT